TGAAACTTTTTACTGGCAAATGTATGCCATTGTCAGACACTGCTGACTCGTGTCTGAGAAAAACGTTGTTTTCCATGCATCCTCGTATCTAAAGTGTGATGAATGCACAGCTGTTCACATGCCCTGGGAAGAGGCTTATAATATGTTAATTAGGCACAGCCTACAAAAACATGATGTAATGGTTTGGCGATATGTGATGCAAAATAAAACTATTAAATTGTGCCAAAAATAGATTATACATAAAATTTCCAAATCTTGCGGGATTATAGGAATAACTAAAAGAAACACAAATGTAATATTTTAATTTAAATTTAGACGAAGTTTTTGCTGCACTGATGCTACAGCAACACACGTTGTCACTGTGAACTGCGGACAGCGTTTCCAGCGACCATGCAACTCGACTTAATTGAGACTCACCAGTAAGTGCAGGGGTTTCGGGCTCAAGTTGGTGGAAAGCACACGCCGCTACCACCGAGCTCGGCTGCCTTGATTTTCTGGTTGTCAGTGGTGGGGAGGTTTGCTATAAGACACTAAGAGAACTATCATCACGTAAGCACAACATGGACTCTAACGCGGCAGGAAGAAAATCAACTTTTGACGTGAAAGCAGCACGAGTGAACCTACGCGCCACTGACAACCAGAAAATCAAGGCAGCTGAGCTTGGTGGTAACGGCGTGGGCTTTCCACCAACTTGAGCCCGAAACCCCTGCACTTACTGACGAGTCTCAATTATTAGCCGAGTAAGCAGGGTCCGCTGGAAACGTTGCCGGGGTTCACGGTGAGAGCGAGTTTGAGGCGATGGGGGCTACCTCTCAGCATGTTGTTCTCCTCCTTCATGCCCCGCACCGTGCTCACCAGCTGGTCGTACTGCATCATGGTCACCATGTTGGGGCCGCCGTTGACTGTAGCCGTGGGCGAGACCTGGGACCGAAGCTGGAGATCTGCCGGATGGTGGTGGTGGTGGCTGCCGGCCGTGCTGCTGACAGTGTCCAGCGAGGGCCGGGGAAGGATGACAAAGTCTCCCTCAGATGCTTCCGAGCCGTTGGTGGAGCTGCCGGGAGTGGTTGGCGTTGGTGGGCTGTTTCTTCTTGGCATATTTACTGGTGTGCCACACGTACATTTGCAGATGAAAAACAAAGATAAATAAGATAACATCAAAGAAGTGTTTTCTGAGGTCTGAACTAGGATAGGTAACACATGTACCATGAATAAGCTTAACACATCCAACAAGGAAAAACTACAGTAACTCTATCATTTATTTTGGCAGTGGATATTTGACTGTAAACTGGACCAGTTATATTTTTGCAATTGTACTAGCATACACTTTGCAAATAAACACAACTGAACATGTGCAGTGTTTGGGGGGGTACTTAGAATTTTTACAATTCGTCGTCCAGTTCCATGCTTACATTATCATTCTGAATTTGTATTCACAAGATAGAATTCAGACCTAAATCTCCTTCTGAATGTTTTCCTTTTAAACAGAAAAAAATCCTCCAAACATGCCAAATTACAAATCACAAAAGACTGAGATATTATGCAATTTATTTGGGATTCAATTCAAAACATATTTAGGACAACTTTGCTAATTTCTTGGGCAGAGTCAGACCTCATGCTGTGTGCCTTTAAACCACTTAAAGAGATAGAAACCACAGTAAAGGAAACTTGTTGTGGTTTGACATGTCTGGAGGATTTTTTTAAGGAAAAAATTTCGAAGGAGATTTAGGCCTGAATTCTATCTTGTGAATATAGATTCTCCAGTATACCTAGATTCTCCAGTATTTGACGTTTGTCAAAGACTATGTACTTTTTTTTTACCTAGTTCCACATCGCACATGCAAATATACTTTACATAGTGCCTACCTAACTAAATGCATATATACCAAGTTTTACGTGGCCTCAGAGCTAGGTACATTCCGTCCATGCCAGCATATTTTTAAGCCGTCGTGTCAATTAGAAATTTTCAGAAGCAAAAATTGTAAGTTTCTATTTTTTATAATCACTATAATTCTAACATGAACTGAATCTCAATGCCTCATCAGAAAATCCACTTGTTAGGGTCGTTCTGACTGAAAAAAGTGGATTTCTTTCTCAATTATGTTTTTAAACAAACAAAATCTGGCCCCATCTGGAACAGGTTAAACCGATCCAGAACAAGGAAAAGTGGCATTGGCACTTCCGACAATCCTGCATGCAGTACATATTATTTTTAAGCTTCAATTTGGAAAATACTTTTGTAGTAATTCCTGCACACAAAGTGAACTATTAATCCCACTTAACTTGAATTTGTGGATCAGTTGAGCTCCAATCAGACTGAATAATGTCCATGATCAGGAACTTAGAAAACAACTGTACCAGAATTGTAAGGAAATTGCACAGTAGTCACATTTTACACTGCGCCCAACCCAATATTGCTTCGTGCAATGCTTCTGCATGGTGTCTTTGACCCTACAGTAGGTGCACAATGCTGCAATGCTCATGTGTCTCGGGTTCAAATAATGTGCCAACTTAACAGTCAGTGTGAAATTTAAAATGTATCTGTGAACAGGATTTAATCGTTGTCTAACAATTGATGTTATGCCCCAACTACATATATGGGGCAGCGTGGACCTCCAGGATTTTCACAAAAATACGGGTAGCACAAATATGGCACTTCATCTTTGACATGACAATGTAAACAACATGACTTTGGCACATGCTGGGCACATGCACACTGGACCTCTGTGCTATAGTTGGCCCAGCCCAACTATACCATAGTTTTGGATAGGCCAAATGTCTTGGTTGGCATGAGATCATTGGGTTTTGATTCTTATCTCTGATTGGTCAGTGGCAAGTGCTTTCTTGATGCAATCACTCTCTATGAATTGTTCACAAACAATGAATGGAAAGGAATATTGTTGTGGTCAATGGAAAAAAATCTAACTTATTGTACCTAAACACTACACTTTTTTTATTGAACATATCAAAATTTAACTGTTAAAAATAGTTCCCACTATGTCCCCCTGAGTTCAAATTTATACTTATTGCTATAAAAATGAACGAAACACTTGACTCCATGAACAAACTGAATGGAGAGCTTCCCCCTTGCCCAATGCAGAAAATATAACAGAAAAGCTGCAAATCGTAAGTTAATTCCATTAATTTCCTACTTCGTGGTAGGCCAATTTAGGCCTCGGCCTAGCCTGCATGTACACCATAAGGGTGATCATGTTTAATCAGTGTTAAAATTGGTTAGGCCTATAATAATATAATGCACCTTTGTGTGTGAAATAAAGCGCAGTGAATTGAAGTGAAATTCATTGTGTAATAATAGGCCTACGCCTAATTTGTGAAATGTTCTTTTACTTACAAGCTTGTAGCAGTTGAATTCTTCAGAGTAAACCGGTTTTGAGACAGGAACCATGACGGAATGTAGGAACAACAAATGAAAACAGCACATCCAGCCTCCTCGTCAAGCAGGGCCAAGTATGCTAATTTGGGGCTTGTGACTGGTTTGTGGAAATTCCTGCCTGGCGTCGCATTGCAACAGTCGGGATTTCCCCGCCTATGTACGTCCTTGCGCGGCTGTACGTGTTCTACATCCAAGAGGGATGCTTCCGTGTTGCACAAATTGAGTCATTAGGGGGCGCTATATAAAATAACAAGCAAAATACACAATTTCTCATGGATTGCGTTACCACTGCACTGTCTGTCACGCCAGCTCCAAACATTCAGGAAAACGTCAGGAAAGCACGTTCGGGAAATTGGAGGATGGCAAAACAAAGGGACTGAGTTGAAGCCAGATCTCTGTCAGCAGGAAGGACAGGTTGCGAAATTCGTTGGACTGAGTAACAGGATTTTGAATGTTCTGACTCAGGAAAACAAAACCAGTCTCTATGCTTTCATAAAGGCGAATGACCCGTACTTTCCTATTAAAAGAATCCTTTAGGAGTTTCGGAGCTTGGAGCTCAAAGTCTGTAATAAAATGTAGGAAGGGATATCGTAAGCTATGAATAATAACGTCAATATTTAAAGGCAAGATTTCGACTTGGAATAGGCCTAACTGGTTTTCAAAACAATTTCTGGCACGGAGCTGTGGTAGCAATTTGATCAAAAGAGTCAATTGAACTGTTTTGACAGGCCCGTAGGCGGGGGGGGGGTTCGGGGGCTCAAACGAACCCCCCCCCACTTCTGAGTTCCACTCGTCGTGTTTTTTTTTAGTAAATACATATTTTTAATATACCTATGGAGGAAGTATACCGTAGTTTTCGGAATACAAGCCTTGGCTTATACGTTGATTCTCACGCTGGAAATGTCCCTGCGACTTATAGTCCGGGCGGCTTATACGGCAACATTTGAAGAATGAAATCAGTCGATTAAACGCTGAGACGTGCCCCTCAGCGTAGCCACCGCCGCGGCCAGCGTGGCATCGCTCCTGGCGCGCAGCGCGTCCGAAATGCGGTCATATTTTCGTTGGTTACCGTTCACATTGGCTCTATTCACGTGCTAGAAATGATGGAAACCAGTCCAGAGGGAACGAATAGACTTGTAAATGTACCGTAGGCACCGTTCACACCTCAAAAATCGTGTGTGTGGCGCGTCTGTTCGTTTTTTATCTGTTACGGTTGTGTTCCAAGTTGTTCGTTATTTCATTGGTCATTCGGTTAACTATTAAAACGAAAGAACAAACTGCCACATGGCCCGCCCAATAAGGACACTAATCCTACCCGCCAAAATGGGTAATTTCGAGGACTTGAGAAAGTTTTAGTTTAATGACAACACTAGTACTCGTTCGTGCGCATGCTTGGCGTTACACTTGGAAATTCCGTACCCCAAAGTGGGGCGGACCCTAACGCTGAGCACTTAAAATTTTCGCTTGTATAGCGATTGTGTATGGAGCAACATTTTAACTCCAATCTCACAAAAGGTGAAATTTAATCAAACTCCAAATATTCTGATTCATAAATGTCGATTTCATATATCCGCTACAAAGTTCCAATGAAATTTTATTTTGGCCCGATTTTCCGATTTTTTTCCGAAGTGCAGAATGAACTCTTTTAAATGTGCCACCCAAATTTCCTTTTTTTCACAAATTTTTAGTTAGGTAGGTGAGTGGAGGTAATAATTATTTACTAGAATTTATCAATTTTATAGAACTTCTGAAATTTGTTGTGGAATTTTCTGAGATTCTTTAATAATAATGTTAATATGATTCACTCGTCACCGCTGGGTGACGAGCAAAGTCATACCTGGTCAATTCGCGACACGCCGTAAATATTGAAAACTGAAGTATACAAGTTTAACTTAAACATGCAGCCTTCGGTTCGCGACAAACATGCAACTTGTCCCAAAGCACACCATGACAGGCCTTTGCATAAACATGTGTTCACAGTGCCAAAAGTTCCACTTTTGGGTTTGAGGAACTCCCCCAGTCTCTGGTCAGGCAACGGGCCCGTTTGATTCGTTAGGACTTTCCACTTGGAGCGGCCATCTGATCTAGAGTTACAAACATACTGATGGTTTTCCCCAACATTCCCGTCGTTTCAGAATGTGAATGACACAAAATTTAGTGTTGTGAAAGTAAAAGCGGCGATGAGGCGCGCTTGTTGAAGTGGAAATTCCGTATTGATGACTTCAATCGCAAATTTTGTCCGGCAATTTCTAAAAGGTATCTATATCGTAGGATATGTTTCCGCACAAGGTACTCAAGAATTTCATCAACCCCCCCCCCAAATGATGTCTCCTGGAAGGGATGTGGAGGGATGGGTTTTCTGCTCCTTAGGGAAACGAGGCCCCAAGTGCTCCCCTCAGACAGGGCCCTAATGACGCCGCTGAAAATAAGATATCGTTCACAGTAAAGCGGTGCCGGGAACCTCCCTGTTAAACTGAAAGTGGACCGAAGGTGAGGAAAAGGACAACCAACACGTCGAGAACTATGTGAACAACTGCTGCTCTTTTCACACTTTTGGACTTTTGGAATGGTGTTATTGTCAAACGGCAATGAAGAACTACACTATTAACACTTCATTAACATTTCCTTTGTGACATTCATATCTAGTTGAAAACAATATTCGCAGGGCTTTTCCACAGGTCTGCAGACACGGTTCAAAATGTTTTGCGGGTGATTTTTCTTCACAAATGATAGAGAATTACTGGATTTTTTTTAAAGGCACGGTATTTCTCTGCTTCTTTAGTAATAATATCACAATCTTCTTTGGAGTTCTTTTCTGTTCTAAGTTTGACCGCTTTAAAAGATGTAATTAAAATGCAAGAAATTAATTTTATAGGATTACTAAATACTGCAGGGTTCAAACTTAAAGGGGTATAGGCAAGTAAAGTTATTCTAATTCTTTTGTAACCAGCAAATCAGGCCCAGGGAATTCATCAAGATGTGAGAAAAATGTTCCATTGCCCACATAAAACAAAAAAAGTGGATACGTTGAAATTATACAGCAAGAAAATCAGATGGGGAGGTTTCCTTTTTCCTCAATTGAGAATGAAGTCTTTTGACATATATCTTTGAAAAATAATTTGAATGCAATTCAGTCACGAACAACCTAAGCTTTTACAACCACATAATAAGCATAAAATCTAGGCTATGTGCCGTGCTATTGCCGTGCCGAACTTTCACGAGTCCGGCAATAGCACAGCAACAGCATGGCAGTTACGCTACATGCCGAACTCAACAGAGCGGTGTTGTGCCACTACCATTCAGAACACAGACAGTGCAGCACATCCTATCCAGCTGAAGGGCTTGCCACACCGAATACAATTTACCAAGCTAAAATCTCGGTAAATGCAGTGCTGTTGCCGTGCCGAGCTTTTAAAAAAATCAAACTATTTAAGTTTGTCACAGTAGTAGCAGTGTATAGGCTAGGTATAAGTTACACAAGTACATGTACACTAGAATTAAGTTTTCAAAAATGCTTGTACAACTGCATGTACAGGTTTTCCTTTAAAATGGCTACAAAAAACAACCCTGGATTCTGTCAGGTGCATGCATGTTGTACATTTCCTGCAGATAGCAAGGAATTATTTTAAGCACGTAGCACACGCTCACATCCCTGTATTTTAGGAAGGGCAGGTGTATTGAAAGTAAAATTCATTGGGAGCACTTCGAGTGCTATCAAATATCACCATCTTTCAGATGTTGCATCTTGAATCTGCAGTAGTACGGCACAATTAAAAAGTTCATAAAGTATCCATTGGTCTCATTGTTCCTTTGTGAGCCTAGGGATATTGTTGACGTTCAGTTCTTGGAACTTGTACTGAGTGAACTTAAAGATGTCAAAAAATGTCTAAAATGAGCCAGGTCAGTATTCCAACGGTGCATACCCACAACGGTGCAAGTCCAAGGCCATTTTGGAACAGCAGGCCAACTCTATCAGTGGGGCAGGCCACAGAATGAGTCGCAGGTGTGCTTTGCTCTGGAATGACCTTACCCTTTGAAACACCAAACGGACTCGTTTGTGGACTTCTCAACTGGGCATTGCAAATCAAGTCACGGTAGCAGCACCATTAATGTGCACCTGCTCAAACAATCAGGGAACATCTGTACTAACAATAAAGTTAATGTTCGAATTAACTTCTAGGTACTGCAGTATTTTCACTGACACAAGACTGTTCACCCCTTCCTTTCTCTAATACTTCACGAGGTTGTCCAAGCACAAGACAACGTGTCACTGGTTTGATGCACAGCATTGGCTTTGACCAGGTTCAAGGAGGTTCAAAGCAAAAACTGCCCCTAGTTATATCAATCGACAAATATGAAGATTTCTCGCAAAATAAAACAGACCTGGGCAGAGGTTGAAATGAGGGATTGCTGGTATCAGAAAAGAGAATAAAATTCTCCTTACAATGCTAGTTTGCTGCACTTCAATATTCCGTTGACAGGTTATGACTGCTTAAAGTTTGTATTTATCACCATATCTGAAAAAAGTAGCATACTGGGAAGATGGCCTTTAAATTACGTGGTCATACCGAAATATGCCAATTGTTTTTTCTTAGAAATATTTCTAATCAGTGATTTCAAAATTCTTTCTTTCAAATATGTGAGGTTGACTTATCAAAGATTGCAAATCAATAAATCTGAAAGTTAAAAGAAAAAAATGCTTTCTTCACCAAATCTCCTTCCCGGTTCATTCTCATTTTGCCAGAATTCTTCAAATTTTCCTAACAGCAAGCTAAAGCTGAATTCGATAAACCTTAAACGAGACACAGGAATCTAATATTTATAGGCTATGTGTGTACTGCTAAAAAAATGCAGTGGTTAATTGTATGTTATTGGAGCTATGGTGTTCATAGCGCTCAGTAAAGAATTAGGCCTACTGATGTTGGTAGTATGGTGGTCTATAGCGAACAGCATCAGGCAATGGACCTCGAGGGGGAGGGGGTCCTAGATCGGGCCTGACTCCTGCAGGTTGAGGCGAGAGTCCCGGGAGGATGGGTGGCATGGCACCCATGCTCTGTGGAGGCATCGACACCCCGGGCGCCCAGCTCTGAACTGACGTTGGGGCAGCGCCTGGACTCTGGAAGGATGGGCTCTGCACCTGGGTAGAGGGGGTGTAATGGGGCTGCGATGCGGTACTGTACATGGGCAGGGGACCCGGTAGGGTCACGGAAGGGGGGATGGCAGGGGCGGGGACGTGAACGGCCGAGTAAGGAACAGTCGGCGGGGTTGGTAGGGGTGCCTGGTGCACAGTGGGGGTGA